ACATCCAAATAGTGTGCTGTATCCCATAAAATGTTGAAAAGAAATATATATTAAACGTACTTTAAATCTGCTCAAAAATCGCACATCGTGTGTGTGTGCCTGTGTATATACGTATAATATAGGAAAATGTTGAAACATTTTAAATATACATTTAATGTGATACAATGGAACTGTGTTGTATTAAATGTTTTAGCCTTTCCAAAGGCCATGTTGCTGTACTCAGACTTCTGAACAACACACTAGTCGATTAAAAACTTCTTATTCCACAATGTGTAGTTGTACGACTCACCCAGAAACTGTCGGTTGTCTCCGGCTCAGACACCCGTGGACCCACGTTCTCACGTCGACGAGGTCTATCGGTTAGCTGCTAACAGGCTAACGTTAACTTCTCTAGGCCAAAGACCAAACGTTTTTGACTTATAAAATAGCTCAATAACTGACTTAAGCAATAACTGACTTAGGCACGAAGACGTTCTTGAGTGTTGACGACTGAAACAGCAGCATACATTTTAAAGAAACAACTTTTTTCTTTCACTCGAACACTTCTTCCCTGCTATCGTTTTTTCCCCTTGCTATCAGTTACTTACTAACAGAATTCAACGTAGCGTTAGGTTCCACTTCTCAATTATCCGATTGGTTGCAATGTCTGTTAATCCTTGACATTGATTGGCCTTTACGGACTAGATTGACAGCCACTGGACAAGAGCACTGAAACGAGAAGTTCACGGTCTAATAAAAACATAGTATCTTTTGCAATTTTATAAAACGCATAATTTTATTCGAGAGGAATGGGAATCAACAACTGCACCTCGGTACAGATGTCCACATTATCACCAGTGGCGAAACATTTTAGCCACCAGACTATTGTCCAGGCTAACTGTGTTTGCTTATTAGTAACTTGGTAACTTTGTTTGATGAGCAGAAGCACCAACATGTCTGCTGGAGGATACAGTACAGTGTGCTTCCAGATATTAAAAAGCTATTACAAAGTCCAAAATTAAAGCTGTATGAGTCCCCGGATGCACCCAGCAGCCATCTTTGTTTGTGAACTATGTGTTGGAGGAGTCATACAACTGTACAGCAATTGCACAGTTGTTGTCACCTGTAGATCAGCTGCACTAATCCAATTCATGAAGCCCTGACAGTTAGTTTATATTCAAATGGCAGTCACATTAAAGACTCAAAACAAACAGTCTGAGATACTATTTTTACTTGAGGGCACCACTGAGACTTTTAGGAAGAGTGGAACAAAAACCGCCAACGAAGAGAAAACAGCATCCAGCTCCCAAATCATCATCTGCCCGTGTCATCACTTCACATCCCCGGGACGCTGGTTAACCTTTAGTGCTGCTGAGACTTCGACAGCCCTGTGATGTCAGTGTGTGGCCCTTTTCACCACCCGCCTAATTCACGGCCTGTTCTACGTCTAGAGCTTGGCTGTAAATCTGCCACGATACTGGAGCATCTTCATCCATGACGAACCTGCACTGCAGCATCATCCAGAACACGTCCCTGGCTGCTCACTTTGGTCAAGTGCCAACGTTTCCTGGTCTGTTGAGGTCATTACAGGTATTACTTACCTCTCCCCCTCCTCGCCCGCCTGACTCTTTCTCATTAAACATGCTGAATCCATTTGTTCAGCATGCAGCCGAAAGTAGCAGCGGCAGCAGCGACCTGGGATCGATTTATTAAAACTGTTTTTTTTCCTTCTAAGACTCTGATGATGATGTTTACAACACTACCACAGTACCAGTGAAAATAAAAAAGACTCACCTCAATCAAACAAGATCTACTTTAAGGTGGAAGTTCAACTGTTTTAGGAAAATGTCGATAATGCACCGATGGTGTTGTGAGCGCCCTCTGCTGTTTAGGACAGAGATGCTACAGCATAGATACCAAGTTAGAAAACATTAAAAACACATTTTTGATCCGTACGCTTTAATAAAGTAAATGAAACGCTTTACAATTGAAAGATGTTCCAATCCAAATCCAATGGTTAATACTTAACATTACTAAATCAAAATAGTTCAGGTTGGAGGGGCTTGAAGTACTGTATATTCTCGCCAAAAGAAATTTCCTGAAAATAAAATTTGACCCAATATGGAGAAAAAAGTTAAAAAAAGAAGAAGAGAAAAAACTAAATCAGACATCAGATACTTTGTTGAAAAATGTTTTTGATGCCGGCCATATTGGTCTTCCATACCCAGGAGTTTTCGGTGCAACTGTCAGGACCGATGGTGGAGTGTGAGCGATGAAACACTCGCTGCTCGCTGTATCCACAGCTGTCGGAGCTGATTCCCTCTCTCCAAGCTCTCAGATATGTTTTATGATGAATCTACATATTTCTCCTCTCTAGGGAGACACACATTATTGGGAAGCACTCGATCTCTGCCTCCATTTCCTGCCTGCTCTAATAGCTTCCAGGTGAGAGGTGTTCCTCGCACTCGCCTGGGAATGCTTATTAAAACTGTTTTCCTATTGATACAGTTGGTTTGATACTTACCAGCTTTGACAAAGCAAAGATCTCATGTTTGGCGTAAAGTTACAAGGGAAACAACAGCGAGTTCTTTGGCCTCAGCATGCCGCAAACGTAACGTTGTTAAAGCGCAGGCCCTGAAACCTGACGCGGGCCCTCTTCACCACATTTGGTTTTCATTATTTTTTTCTTGCTCACAAAAATTTTAACAATAGCACCCAGGGATTAAGTCATGGTGCAGGTCGCAGCCAAGCCAAACATCCTGCCTTGGCCAGGAAAATGAAGACAGATGAAGAAGGGAAGCAGGTGTAAAGTGTTCGCCTCCTCATCCTCTGCAGGAGGCACCGAGCTCGACGTCTGTCGTCCATGAACATCGCTTTATCGCTGGCAAGAAGGGAATGCATGGGGGGAAGCAAAGTTCAGGACACATTCTTTTCATTAGATGTGTTAAAGGATATGATGGTGTGTTTAATGGTAGGAGAGGCAGTTTGTATTTAATAGACTCATTTTCTACATCTTTCTGCATGTCTAAGTGTTTTCGCAGCTAATTCCAGCAAATGCAGCTTAAACAGTAACTCAGATTTATTAAGTCAATGTCATACAACTTTTATTCATTAAGCTGAAGTATAAGCTTTCTGCTTGGCCTCATTGTGTTTGCGTCTCAAATGACTGCCAGCGAGAATCAAGCATAGCCTTATCACATTAGCCAATGACATTAGTCTTACCACAACCAGTTGTTCCATAATATACTAGTTTAGTTTGAAATGGTCAACATTAAGAAACATTTAAAGAACAAGACTAAATACTCTTTTAATTTGCCGAATTTAAGTAGCATTAGCCTCAAATGTGTCAGTGAATCATTTTAGTCTTTTCATGATACCATTCTGCTGGGTTAGCCTTACCTTGGTCTGTTGTTGTCTGCTAAATCATAGCTTTAGCATAGCCTAGGTATAGTTACTTTTAGCCTAAACTTGGGATACGTTAGTAACTTACTGTCTCAATTAAAGAATTAATTGATTAATTAATTTTTCCACTTTATAACTACTAACTTTATAACATTATAGAATACCTGAAAAGTAAAAATGTTTATCTATGTACAGCTCAGCTCACAGTGAAGATATTCAGATTAGGCTTCTCTATGATGTTTATCAGGGACAGATTTGTCACAGTTATGGTTATATAAATACTGTGAAAACAGAAAAACTTCTTCACATGGTTCTATCACTTTAAACATCTTTGGACACGTCTGCATTTTCACATTTTTCCTTTAGTCAACAAATCCAGAGGTTGGATCACTACCAGCAGTGTGTAAGTGCGTCTGTCAGCACCTTTCCTGCTTTGCCTGGGGCTTCTAAGCACTGTAAAAAAAAATAAAAAAAACTGAACATGTAGTTGATAAATATAAATGCATACTTTCACATGTTATATGTTACATCAAATAAAACAGAAGGAAACATTAGTGAGACTTTTCTGCAACCTCTTAATCCTAATTCAGACAAATTGTACAGATTATTGTTAGATCTATTAAATAAACACGGGTCAACAAACCACATCTTGAAATGTTTTCATCACAGTAAACAAGTAAAAGTTGGTGATTGAAGCAGAAACACAAAATGTTTCATTTGTTTTAATCAGTGAATCCACATTGAAAGATGTTATCAATAATAAACTTAGCTAAAACTGCAGTATTGTAAACAGCTTTATTATAATTATACTTGTATCAATTGGTTGTATATTAAACGCAATCTGTGAGAAACACACATAAAGTTGAAGGTTTTAGTGTGATGGGCCTGTTTAAGATATAGGAGTTGAATTTAACTGTGTTATTACCGTTGTATATTTTTTATTCATAACGTCAGATAAAAGTACAATTATTAAGACATTAGTCTTATTCAATCATCTTATTACGTAATAATAATCATGTATCAATTTTTTTTATCTTAATGTTACAGTGTACCCAACTTTTAAATGAAAAATTATAAATCTAAAAACACACATATATCAAATGAAACATTTTAGTAAAAAGTTTAAAAATGAGGTCAGGTGTGACGCTCAATGACCTGATGAGTGGGGAAAATAAAATACCTCTCTTCCGTACTCATGCAGTTTGGGTTGAGCAACACATGGTTTCCAAGCATCCTGATCAGATTTCCAAACCTTGTCCAGAGTCTGGATCTTCCCAGGAATCTGAGTTAAGAAGCCTGGAAAACTTGGAACTTTTGCTACCTCTGATTTAAACACCGGCTCGCTGGCCAAAACTGCTGAGTCATAGTGAAAGGTTGAGTCCTCAATCACTTCATGTGTACAGTCACATGCAAACGTGCATTTGTGGTCTGTTTTTCTATTTTTTTTAAATTACATCATGGAGAAACTGCAAGTTGTCCAAGCCACCTGCCTGACTGTGTGGTTTGCCATAAGAAAAGGTTCATAATCCCAGAGATCCATAGCTAGGCGTCCTGTCCTCTACCAGATTCTAATGAATCATTTACTTCACAATAAAGTATTTGACGACAATCAACTGGGCTTCAAGCCAAATTTAATCTTTATTAGACAGGTTCTGTACAAAAAGCACTGGATCACAAGGAAAAAAAACAGACAGAAAACATGCATTTATTTACAGCATGGTCAGAGACAGAGAAACTGAAAATGTTTGTTATTCTAAAGACATTAATTATTTTTAACATTGTGCTTTAATATACTTTGATGATATATTTCATATTTCACAAAGATGTAGAACCTCGGCCGTCCATCACACTGTGGTAAAAACACCAAAAAAGATTCCAAAATTTGTTTTTCTACAAATTTGACAGAAACATCTGCAACATGAGGCTTTTGGGTGTTCAAGTGCAGCCTGGAAAATTGTTTTCACACACATGTAAAGCGACATCACAATGAAATCTGTTCTGCCACGACCGCAGGTTAGTGTTTCGCTCCTGCTCATTTGCATAAAAACATAAAATGTTTGGACGGGACGAGAAACCAGAGATTAGATCTGCTCCTCATTTTCAAAGAAACCACACAATCGATGACTAGAGAAAAGGTGTTTTCCATGCCACAATTTTAACATGAACAACCGCAGAGTGATTACTTACCATAAGGAGATATAAATCTGTGAGTATTTCAGTTGTAAAATTGAAGGTCTTAGCTCCTTGAGCAAATCTGTAAACAACATACAGATCCAGACGTCATGTCTCCTTAGAGACACTCTGCTATATCAAAATTAAAAATGTCGAAATTAAAATCTTCATTTATTGACTTTTCAATTTTAAATATAACTGTTTATGTCAGAACTGCAAAAGAAGTGCAAGATATGTGACATCATAAAAGATTTTCAGTTCACACACTTTCTTATAGTGAATATTTACAGACATTTAAACCATGAGCTGGTGGACATAAAGACTAGATATAAAAAAAATTGACATTCACTTTTGCGTCTCACGTTTGAAATTGAATTTCAACAAACGTAGTGTTGGTGCTGGGAGTGTAAAGTCGTTGATGTTTGGACTGAGAAGCATTTGCATAAGTGAGCAACAGCGTTTCAGGGCGATGGTGGTAATGGCAACGTCAACGACACCGACATCAACCCACATTTTGTCACTTTTTTAAAATGACAAGTTAAAATATACAACGAAACCATGTGATCCAAATTAAGGTGGATAAACTTCAGGAGATTCTGGATACAAAAGTTTCACGTGACAAGGATTTCTGTTCAGAAAAATAAAAATGTTGGTTCAAACCAGTCTATCTCCCCTTCTTTTAAGGGAACATTTAATTTTTTTAACCTTTTACTAGCACACATTTCTCTTATTATTAAGTGCTCCAACAGAAATAGTGCATTAAGAAATAACCATGATTATACATTTCACATTAATACACAAAAGACGAGAATAGAACCAAACACAAACAATGCTGTTTACAAAAGTTAAATATTGGAAAATCGGAAAAGCTTTTTTTTTTCTTTTTTTTTTTTTATAAAACTGATGTAAGGGCCTTGTTGTTATTGTTTTTTGTTTGTTTGTTTGATGTTTAATGTCCTGTTTGGAAAACCAGAGCAAACATGTCATGACATTTTGTTGTTTTACAAAAACAGGTTAAGTCCTCTCATCTTTCACTCCTTTGTTGAGCAACATTCTAAAAGTTTTTGAGACATCAAGTTTGTTTACAGAGATATTTGCAATATCTATCATTCAGGTCTAAGCTCACACAAAAAAAACCTTCAAACAGCTTATTCATAAATACACAGAAACGAAGCACAGAAGAAGTAAAATCTGGAACATAATAGGAGTAAAACTGAACTTTTCCTTATTAAAATCTATAAATCTGAAAAACTGGAGTGTTGTCATTAATTTAACAGAGAGAAAAAAAAAGAGAAAAATCTGCGTTTTCAGTTTTACTCAGCCAAACGTAGTGTTTGCTTCGTTTATTCTTTTTTTCCAGACGTATTGTTAAAGTTTATGTTACAAAGGAAAACAACATCATCTCTGAGGGTGTTGTCCTAGAACGGTTTTAGGATCTGGATCCGTCTCACGGTTGTTCCAGGTCTGGTTTGTGGACTGAGTTCAACTCATGTTCAGGTTTCACTGAGAGCTTCTGACCTTAAGAGAACCAGCTCGTCCACTGAGAATCAACAGGTGTGTGTTGCTGCTCCACTTTCTTTTACTATTGTTAAAAGCAGCATTTTATGTGTCTGATGAGTATTTGTTTTAACATTTTGGCTACATTCAGCAGAACAAGCTCAAACCTTCAATCTCTAGTCCAAAAAACAATAAACAAACATATAACATTGTCCACCTGTGGGTTAATTTGCTGTTTCATAATGACGTGAGGAGCTGTGGAGTTTAAAGTCAGATTTGGACTCACTTTAAAACAACATAAGTTAAAGTGTAAAAAGTGCAGACTGGTCCTTTAAACTCTGGTTGTGGTCAGAAGCCCCCGGTGACCTTGCTCCTTTCCTGTCTCACAGTGTTATTATCTGAGCTGTTCTGTCTCCATGGACTTTTGAAGTCAATTTTCACCTGTTGATGATTTCAGACGACTCTTGGTTCTGAAGACCGTTCTCCTCCTCTGAATAGACCCCCCAGAGTTTACTGCCCCGACCTTTTGACCCCCACAGAGATTGTGCAGACATTTGCATTAAATGTTCTGAGGAACTTCTGAAGTATATGCTCCAATGGTTGGTCGTGGAACATCAGGTGCTGTGAGCGGAGGAGGAGTCAGGTCAGGGGAGGATGGTCGAGAAGGGGTCGATCGGCAGAGGGTTGTCCTCACATGGGCGGGACGATGAGACCAGCCATTGCTGTAAAAAAAAAAACAACAGAAAAAAACAATTTAAAACTAAACTATATCAAAAATGAGGAGGAGCTGACATTCTGGCATATTTGGGGATAAAGAGAAAAATATGTTACGATATATATTTCTTTCAACAAATAAAACTCTTTTTTTATCACTTTAACTTTTATTAATAGTGAGTAATATTTATTATGTATTAATTATTTATTTTACAAATGTAAAATGTTTTTTTAACTGTATTGATTTCCAATACTAAACTTTTTTTTAACAGTAAATAAACCTTTATTTATAAAATACTATACAGGATAAACAAATCATTGTTGTTAAATATTTTAAATAGTATAAATAAACTGTTTTACTATATTTATTAGAGAATAGAAAATATATAAAAATAAAAACATATCCAACATAAAGCAAATATGTTAAAACCTTAAAAGATGTTTTATATAAGTAATTTTAAAAAGTAAAAAAATTACGTTATTTTCACCCAAATCCTTTGATTAAAAAAAAAAGCTGTGTCCATTAAATACATAACGATAAATAACACAAACTTAAATTAATTTTTTGAAGTGAGGCTGTAAATGTTGAACAGTAAACAGACAGTAGTGAACATTACACATTACAATAATTGAATGTTAAACAATAACAACGTTTAGACAGAAGACTATGAACATTCAACAATGAAAACTTTGTCACAATAATAATGTTGAAACAATTATGATTATGAATAAATAAATCATTAAGAAGCAGAAGTTATGGATCAACTTTGACAGACACAGTGTTTATGGTCAGCGTACGTGTCCACGTGGCCGGCAGGGGACGGAGCTGACAGGTGAGGGAGGGGCGGGGTGGATGCTCACCCTGGAGGTTGCTGCCATTGGCGGAGGTGCAGGTGGGGGGCGGGGAGGTCTGAGGCCGCACGACGGGGGCGAAGGCGCTCTTCTGTTTGACTGCAGAAACCAATGAGAACCAACAGAATGAACATCTGAGGAGGAGGAGGAGGAGGAGAGGAAGAGGAAGAGAGGAAGAGGAGGAGTGGGAAATGAAAGGGAATGAGGAGTAAGAAGGGAAAATGGAAACTAAAGAGAGGAGGAGGAAGCAACAAAGAAGCAGAGGGAACTGAGGAGGAGGTCAAAGTAAACAAAATAAAGGAGCCATTTTTTTGGTGTGGTGAAACTGTTCTAGTTTGAGGGCCATTTCCAAATCCAGTAAATTCTTCTCTCCTTTTTTAACCTTAATTTGAATCCTTAGCACGGAGTTTAAACTAATGTTGGCCTTCTCATTGGCTACAACACTCTTTTAGTCTTTCGTCCATCATGGGAAAGGTTGAATGTTTATATACAAAAACCACATACACAGTGTAAACGTACACATAACATACACAAACAATACTTTAATTTAGTTATTATTTAATGCAAAAAAACCCACTTAAAATAAAGAGACATAATTATTTAATGCAAAAAAACCCACTTAAACCAATAAGACAATACACCTGTCATTAAAAAGGATATACAAATATAATAATAAATTTAGTGATAAAATAAGAGACAAGACTTTAATAAGATCTCACCGAGGAAATTAACTGTACTGTATTTCTATTTTATTTTTTATGTAGTTTACTTCATTAAAACAAACAAAAACTGAGGGCAAATTGCATCTCAAAGCTTAGGGCTGCAAAAAGGATTTAGACAGAGGAAAGAGCAAAGGAGTAGGAGGAAGTGGAATTTAACAGGCTGAAGGAGTGGACGAAAAAATAGAGAGTAGATGAGAAGAAGGGGAGTAGATGGAGTAGGAGGAGGAAGTGGAGGAAGTATATCTGTGCCTCATGCTGGAGAACAAAGATCTTCATCTGTCAAAGTTGATCCATAACTCTTATTTTGAAAAAAACAACAAAACAAGAAAAACCCACAGCATTCACAGAACAAATGTATACATGAATGTATGTACATGCGTGTGTGTGTGTGTGTGTGTGCATGTGTGTTTCCAATCTGACCCTGGCTTAAACATGATGCCAGTGACATTTATTTGAGTTCATAGGAGACAAACTAGAGTTTTATGCTTAGGTAGGCTAACCTGGATTCCTATAGTTAGTAAGTACAGACAGACAGACAGACAGACAGACAGACAGGTAGGTAGATAAAACGCTAAAACAATGATGAAAAAAATGCATGCAGGGGCGGTTTGTGTGTTCTGTGTTTGTGCCGTGGACTCACTTGCGTAAGCAGAGTTTGCAGTGGAGCCATTCAGGAAGCTCGGGGATCCAGACACGCCCAGATTGGTCATTCCCGCAGCTCCGTATCCGTTCATGGTGGATGTGATGGTGTTGTAGTTGGACTGCTGAGGGGTGGAGCTTGGAGCATAGCCACGAGGAGACACGCTGTTTGAGTTACGAGAGTAACCTAAGCAAGAAGAGAGACCTGGGTTTTAATGAAAAGAACCATATTGTGATGTCATGATTGTGCAGCAGCATCGAGAGACAAATAAGTAAGAGCAGCCTTCCGTCTCTCCTCTCCTCCTCCTTGGTTTCTGCAGCATTTGGAGGACTGTAGGTCATACCTAGGCCTGCTTTATTATTCAGTGTTTTACTGAAAATGGTGGGAAGATATGACAGAAAAAACGAGTGTGACCTAACTCACAGCTTATACTGCAGTGTGGTTTATATTAACAGTTTGTTTCATCCATCCATTACACATGAAAAAATGAGCCATTTACGACTTTGTACATCCTTTTATGTGATAGAATGTTGGATGTCGCATTAACATCACAACCGCCACTGCTTCCACTGCGACTACTCTCCGCAGGCAGAGCCTGTGCTTCTATTACCTCTGCAACCAACCTCCTCATTCTCCTCTCCCCGTTCTCCTTGCTCCTCAGGATTGACCCTCATCCAAGATGCATTGAATACCAATGTTCTGCAATGCTCACTTAGACCTTTGACCTCCTCATCAGTCTCCCAAGTTCCCACCGAACTCTTTCTCATTTGCTCTCTCGCCTACACTTTCCCCCACTTCCTGGTTTGGGCCTGGCCAACATAATTCCCAGCAGGCCCTGCTGATGGAGCACTGCCCAGGGACAAGGAGGCAGGGCCGCGATGGGAAACACATGTGCAAAAGTAGAGAGCAAGGAGCGACACATGCTCACTGTCCACATTGTTGTAGAATAAAATCCAGAGTCTTTCTAAATAAAAGACCAATTCTTGTCCACACCCTCTGCTATGTTGGCGTGGGAAGCTGATCTGCTTCAGATCATTTACTTCCGCCTCATGCTGACAACTCAACTAGAAACATATGTTGCATTCAGGGGCAGGTTATATGTCAGTAAGAATCTGTCAGAGATCAGGTGATGCACCATCAAACAGCTCATCTGCAACAGACCTCCACACATTTACGACAGCACTATACAGTGTGTGTTTTACTCAGTGTCTGTGTAAGAGCATTTAAACTGGTGTCTTTGTAGACATTGATATGCCCCTGTTCTGAACAGTCCATGTTAGTCCTGGCTGAGGTCCAAACATCAGCTGTGGGAAGATATAGAAAGGAAAGAAACTGCTTTGAGGAGCCATTTGTTAGCCAACCAAGGACACAACTGATCAAATGACTAATAACAAGCCGGACTAGAAAAGAGCAGAAGAGAGAGACTCAATGTCTGCTTTCTCAATTAACGTCACAGTTTTAGAAGCAAAAACTCAACTGCATACATTCGTCGAGCATTTGTCTGAAGGACCTGATTCTTCTTGGTTTATTCAGATATAAGCACAATGTAACAACAACTTAACACTGAAAAGCTGCTGTACATCACAGTCAGTCTGAATGGTATCAAATAGTTTGTAATAACTGCTGAGTTAAAACAACCTATGATAGAGGTTAGCTATGTAAACGGCACATTCAAACTGCAGTACAACAAGGTCCAATAAGGAACCAGTCGTCTGTTTCTTTCCTACGGTCAGCAAGGTGGACAGTAAAAGGGGTGAAGTAAATTAAGACAGAACAGAGACGAAGGAGAAGAGAGCAGTCAGTACTGTATGGAGAACAGAAGAAGAACAGCAATCCTTGGTATATCGCACAAAAAAACGAGTAGAATTTCCTGTTCAGCCATTTTTCCCATGACCTCACAGATTCCTGAAAGATGTTCTGTATTAAGATGTGGAAAATGTACATAGTGGTTTTCAGGAGGAGAAGGAGGTTGGGAGTGTTTAAGGAGGAAGAGGGAGTGTGTGGAGGGGGTGGGGGGGTGTTGTGGAGATAAAGCAGTCTTGCTGTTTCTTGTCCACACCTACTCAGGGTTATTTCCTCCACAGCTGCAATAAAGATCCAGATAAATGACCAAAGTTTAAGTGACTGAGTTTAGAGAATGCAGGTGAAGTTTCATATGTCCAATAAGAATCACTTGAAAAACAGACATTAGCAGCGTTAACGTCTGTGTCAGCACTGACAAGTTAGCCTTAGCCATGTGTGTATGTGTTTGTGCACATATAATATATATTAACACTATTATTAGTATTAAACATGTTAGCTTTGACATTAGGAGTTCTGCATTAGCATTAGCATAACAACATTAGCGCTGATGTGTTTTAATATTGGGAATATTAGCATTCTCACCCTGTTCGGCCTGTGAGGCCTCTGAGATGTTGACTGCAAGCTGACTGCTGAATGAGTTGACGCTCATCATGCCTGAGTGGGCGGAGCCACTGAGTGATGGCAGCTGGTTGTGACTGCGAGGGACACTGTACAGGGCCTCAGTGAGGTCGGCCGCTCTCTTCAGGATGATCTCCTGTTGGGTTGAATATAAGAGCAACTTTTACTTTGTTACTTCATCTTTTTGTAATTGTTCTCTTTTTGTAATTTCAAACAAAATGTGATTGAACAGAACACTGCCATCTGCAGGCCATCAGGTGGACACTCACCTGGTTGTTGTGTGGCATCCCATACAGAGCCTCGACAAGATCAGCTGCTCGCTTCAGCAGCACTTCCTGAAAATAGTAAAAAAAATCAATTACCTAATCTCCTGATAAAAAAGAATGAATCAATGTGTTTACGTAGGTGTCACAAAAATGTTACAAGCTTAATATTTGTTCCTGTTTTCATGAAAACTGTCGTAAATCTTCTCTTTCTTTCAAGTCCGACTGCATAATGGTGCGTGCTTGTGTCTCTTTACTATTTATTTTGTTTATAATTCGTTTGTAACTTGTACAAACACTCCCCATTACCAGCCAATTGGAGTGTTTCCCATCCCACCCCCCCACCCCCCACACACACACACTAAAACAAAGCTGAGTTTTCCCACGGCATAAACTGACCCTCAAGGCGATGTTGCAACTCAGTTTTTAAATCAGTGATGAACAAAGATGCCTGAATCCCTTTGTCACACACTCACACCTGAGCCTAATTTCTCAGAATGTTGCTCGATGATGGTGTATTTATTTATTAAGATAAAGATAATGTGACGGATTAAAAGTAGTCTTTTCTTCTTTTTTTTTTACTAATACTTAAACCTGATAGCAATGACTTTTTTTCTCTTTTCCAACCCTCCTCCTCTACCCCTTGCTTGCTCTCCCTCTCCTTTGTGTAGAAGTGTGTGTGTGTGTGTGTGTGTGAGAGAGAGAGAGAGAGAGAGAGAGTGAGAGTGTGAGTTCCTCTAGCTCCATTAATCTCCATTAGAAAACAGAAGTTAGTTAATGTCTCCTTCGCTCGGCTGCAGGTGCCCATCACACACACACACACACACACCCACACACAGAGAGAGAGAGAGAGAGAGCAGAAGCAGTGAAACCTCAGAGGCATCATTAACTTGAGAGGAGTGTTGTGTCTGTCAGGACCTAATGAAAACAGAAGGACACACACACGCAAAACAGCATTTCACGTGTATGTGTAAGAGAGAGTGTGTTTGTGTTTGAGAGAATGAGAGAGAGAGAGAGAGAGAGAGAGAGGTGGGAAGGCGGAGGGGGGCAGCAGACGCACCTGTCGTCTGTTCCTAAATTAGAAATCAATCAATAACTCTCACTGATCTCAGCTGAGGTCACACACACACAAAGGATGGCATCATTTACCCTGATGTTGACCACTGTTTTTTATCTTGATGCACATAATAGTTGCTGTTCTCCTGCTGACGTATGTTTGTTATGTGGTATAACCTTCACAAATCGGAACAAATGAATTTGAACACAAAAGAAAAGACTTATAGAAAAAGCAGTCAAAAATATTTTTTCAGGAAAATAAAGCAGTAAACATATTTTTTAAAATATAACGTGTCAGATTTTGAGCCCTTTATTGTCTTTGGCTTTACTAGAATAATTTCTCCTCAGAGTAAGAATCTGTCCCCTAGCTTGTTCCGGCAGCAGGGGGCGCTAGCAACGCATTCAGCACTGATGATACATGATAAACATAATCTAGCAACGCATTCAGCACTGATGATACTCTAATCTAGATAAACATTAAACATTTTACTGTGTCTTTTTTGCTTAAATTTGATTTTTATTTTCAATAATTATAATAAAAATAATAATATAATTTCAACAATTGCACACACACACCTCTCTCTCTCTCTCACTCACACACACACACACACACACACACACACACACACACACACAGTGTGTCATTGGATTCCTGTCAGAGCCAGAGGCAGCAATCAGAGCAGCGAGCACTTTAATGGCGCTGAAAGGACTGAGCCAATCGATACAATAATGCACTGGCTGCTGGCTTCACCATCACTATCATCACTATCACTATCATCACCATCACTATCATCACCGTCATCATGGCTTATCACCGACCCACTCCTCAAAGAGGGTTTAGGGTGAATATGAAAGAAGGAAACAGTGGAAAATCTGTGTGAGTGTGTGTGTGAAGGAAGGGGGTGGAGGAGGAGGGGAGTCAGAGTGGATAACTGGAGGTCTATAAACGCTTAGATATGAAAGCAGCCAATTGGATAATACACTGCAGATCAGATCAGTAAAATACTTCCTGGATTTCACAGGCTTCTTAATGGGATCAGATACAACTAAATGAACTAAAATAAAATACAAAAAAAATCAACAGAAAAGAAGCAGAACTACAGAAAAGTTAGACCACAAAAATAACAAGTGGATCTATCTGGTTCATGTTATAATCTGTGTGTATCTACTTGGTTCTTCCTCGTTCAGCTTTATTGAACACAAACCAGCAAGTAATGAACTAAACAATTCTTCTAATGTCACTTTGGCTTTACAGTCTTTCCCACACACTGAGACCCAGACCTGCAGACTCCTGAGAAGGTTATGGTCTCAGTAGTTAGCTTCAGGCCTTCTTCGATAAACCTAAAAGCACTACTTTACTTTATCTTATTTGTCCTCATTAATAGGAACAGTTGGTAAAGCATGACACATATTGATGGAAACCTTGTAATTAACCACTAGACGAAAAGCCTTGTTACTGCTGACGCTTCCACGTTAGAATCTTGACGTTTGTTCACGTTATGTCATCCACACATGAGAGTAAAAGAGGTTTTAACACCAGGTTCAGTTTTTCCCTCTCAGTGGCTGCTTTCATGCCCTCGCCCTCCTTGTGTCCATCTCTCGACATATTCCTGATTCACCCCCTCCTTCTCCACCTTCTCCTGCTCTGTTTTTCTTCCTCGGGTTTCTCGGGGCTTAATTACGGGGGGCCGGCTCGGCGGCAGTGCGGAGGTGCGAGGCGAACAGGGATCAGCGTGACCCTGGAGGAGACGCCATCAGACAGCGGCCTTAACAATGATAAATGACCCCGAGCAGAGCTGCAGATAACGCCGCTGCCCCCCACTGGTCGCTATAAAATATGGATGGACCAAGAGGAGGAGGAGCAGATTAGCAGTTATCAGGCGGAGCAGTGCTCTAATGATGCAGGTCGTGGCGCATGTTTAATTCTATTCAGAGGAAACAGATTTAAATTCCGATCAGGATTTGAATGTTGCTCATTATTCTCAATAAGGAAGAGGAAATCTGCTCATTCATGAAGTGGGCTGTTATTAATAATCCCTGAGCACTCCAGTGCCTCCTGAGCCCGACCCAGGGTCAACGATCAGAGCTAAAGACGCCAAACATCTTTAATACCACACTTCACCTCCTGCTGTGGTAAATGATTAATAACTGATCAATAAAACATCAGCTAACCATTCGTTAACCCTCAATAAATCAGTCTGAGTGATGTCGTCTTTTACGTAATATAACAATCCATAAAATAAATTTGTTTGCTCAACAACTGTTTTTTAATTCAAATTTTCAACCAATCCTGCCAATAATATATTTATATTTTCAATTGTACTGTATATCAGTAATGGACATACTGTAGGTGTCTGGCTGGAATATTTAACCACTAGACAGCGACTTCATTGGCTGAATTAGGAAATCAAGTAAGTGTAAAACACACTGTACAGTAATTTCAAAGTCTTCAGTTATCAGCGCATGCATAATGCACAGTGGGTTAACTGTGTATATCAGTCACTTTAAGTGTAACTAATAGCTGGACTGGTTTCAACGTATCACTGTCTTTTTGTTTAAAATCTAACTTCAGTCATAAAGCAATTATGTGACATTTTTTACATTTGTGCTTTAATTAAGCCTTCCAGTCTCCACGTGAAGCTTATTAAGCTAATTATATGTGGAGTAATTATAATACTCTGAGTTTTTGTTCAATGCCAAGCTTAGTCTCTGAATTTGTATTTTTTATAAATACACTTTTAATGTAATTGTTGAAGTAAGCTTGTAGTTCCCAGATACTTCCTGCTGTTTTTGCTAAGTTAACTTAACAATAATGACACAGTACCAAACAGAAGATAATCTAATCATTCTAATTAATTTCTTAATAATCTTGATAATTAACTGATATTTAAGTCTACAGATTAGTACTTGGTGTTCTTGGTAATGTAAACTGTTTACCCAGCTTCTAGGTTTCGTACAATGCTAAGCTAACCCTAACCCTTTGATTTTAAATCAGTTTTACATCGTTCACCTTAAATCAACTTCCTGATTCCTCTTGTGCTTTCTGCTTCTCTAACATATTTTTCCTCCTCGCCGTTTCCCACAGTCCTCCACCTGACAGCTTACAATGAATCAATCAGCTGACTGTCGCAGCATCTGTCCACAAACATCTCTGTACGACCCACATCCGACACCCTACCCAGCCCGCGCAGGTGAAAACAAAGAAGAAGCGACAGGTGGAGTTAACCTGTCACTGTTGTGTCACATGATCCCACTGACAACGGCTTGCCGTCCTGTCACCTCACTACAGCTCCAGGCTTTTTTCCTCCTCTCTTTTATTTCTCTGAACAGAAACAGAATCAGTCTATCTGACTTTCCTTTGAATAAATAAATATTTAACAGGCGGGTGGGGGAGGAGGGCGGAGCAGCGAGGGGGTGCTCGCATCAAAGAGGGCAGACATGTTTGCTCACTATTAGTATCAATTTACAAATAAACTGCTTTTTTGGTGACTGGATCTCCGATGTCAGCTTTTGATAAATGGTTTCAATTTGGCAGCAGCTTTCGAGTGTCAGGCTCCATCTGACGCTCCACGCCACCACCGCTGCTCGCTGCCGCCCCAAATCTACCTCAGTTATCCTCACAGCCGCGGCTGAAATAATCTCTTCATACTAACCAGAGCACCTGACGACCGTGTGGATGCATGAGTGCTGTGTGTGTGTTTCCACCACTGTTGTGTTTCTACACAGATCTTAAAGGAGCCGTCTGTGAGTTTTACACCATGGAGAATAGGTCATACACTATTTACAGTAAACTCAGACTCCAATAAAGCTACTATAATAGGAAATGTTATTCTATAGTCCTGACAATTAAACCCGGAAAAATTAATCTTTCTGATAACCATTCAAATAGGAACATGTATCCCTGGGCTTTATATAAGGACACTGTCATTAGAGCTACTGTATTGCAGTACTTCTGTTTTCGTATAATTATCATATTGAGATCAAATTTGAAGGTTTTGACATCATAAACTAAGCTTACGTTCAGTAGATTTTAAGACAAATTCATTTTAAAAAAATACTGCATGTCTCACTGTAAAAAACACAAACATTACAATTAACAAAAGGTAACGAGACAAAGGAGGGGATATATCAGAGACTAATGCAACATGTGCAGCTATAATCTATACTGTGAGCTGTTAATGTACATATCAGGTTACATAGAGGAATAGATTTTACATATGCGATAAGAGGAATTTGACCTCTTGTCGACACTGGATGGGTTCAAATGGATTCTTAGATTACATTTTTGTATAAAGACATAAGTAACAGCAAAACAGTCTCAGGCTCATTTTAGCAGCAGGGGGCGCTCACCGCCAAATCTGTGTCAGGACCTCATATGCAGACTTTTAGCACTAAGTACTGAACATCTGACTCTAGATGGTGTTGACAACTATCAAAAACAGTTGGATTGTAGTTGTATGATGAAGACTGATGTTAGCCAGAGCCTGCTGTAAAACTTTTGCTCTCAGTTTTACATCCAATTCTCATGTCACCCGCCTTCATCACATCAAACTCCAACAAAATGGCTTTCCCCGCTCCCATTCTCGCCAGCGGAGAGGAAACAAAGCAGCAGCAGCAGGATTGGTTCCATAAACAGCTGTTCCCTGTTTGAGGGATTGGGAACAATCTGGAACAATCTGCCCCACTGGCAGTGAGCAGAGTCAATGCCGCCAAGAGTTGAGCAGAACCAACAAATCCACTCAGGCGAGTCAGTGCTTTGTGAGCATGGAGCTGTGCAGGTGGTCGGCCAACACCATGTTCACTTCACAGCAGTTTTGACCTGACTGACAGCTGCACCTGACCTCTAACCTTTGAAACATACACAGACACCAGTCATTAAGTCATTTCCACTGACCTTTGGTAACCTCTCAGGGTCCCCAGGGTGGCGAGGGATGACCTTCTGTAACCTCTGGAAGCCGTAGTCGATGGTTGGTTCATTCAAGGCTGAAGGAAAAGAGAGTAAAACCAATGTTATTTTACACAATTGTCAATCAATAATAAAAACCAAGAGGTTGTGATACTTTTATGGAACCAGGGTAAAGATCAGACTGACTTTTAACAGGGTTACATCGACACATTTGATGATAATGTAAAACAAAAACACACAACAAAGGGAAAATACTGAACAGAATGTGTTCACAGATATCAAAGATTTTTGTGCTTTTGCAAAATTAGATGAACATAAAATGGAATAAGATAATAATAAGTGGTTATTAAAAGAGTTAGAGATGAAGAGATAGAAGAGATACAAATGTGACAAAAATAACAAAACATCTTAAATATTTTTAGATCAATCAGAGCAGGAGACAGAAGACAAAAATTAAGAGAGAACGTTTAGACTGAACCTAAACAAAAAAAATACAAAATTGAAGTCATAGACAGAGAGTCACTGGGGATGTGACATCAGACATGGAAAGATGAACAGAAGATAAGAGCTGAAAGAGCTTTATCTTTATCACTAGTGTCACGTAACATCGCTGTAAACTCTATACATTGTTTTGTGGTTTTTCATAAAAGTGAGACCTCTGTCTGACCGTCAGAGCCTCTTTTGGCTACACACACAAATACACATACACACACACACAAGCTGCTGTTTATGGACCTCACACTCCTGCGTCTGCCTCTGCACCTCTAATTCAATACAACCTTTCTCCCTGTCTGTCTCTGCCTCTTACTTTCCCTTTTTCTTCCTAATCAATCACATTAATCATAAACTGCTGTCAAATGTGACTTTGGGGACAATTTGTCACTCCATCTTCTCCTCTTACCGCCACGCCGGCCTCTCACACTCTTGCTTTCTCTCTCTCTCTCCAGCCCCTTGTTTTCTCTAAGGATGATTGACACTCCAGATGCTTCTGAGTAGAATAGCTAGTTTGCACTAATATGCATAAGCGCGGGTTTCATGAATAAGAATAAGGCGTGCGCTCGCTGCTGCAGAGGCTTTTCCTTCAAAGGGGCGGGGCCGTTCCTCCGTTTGTCGCCCATGTTATTACCATTATAACAATATTTGTTTTCTTCCCTGGAAGACGGCCGGCGGCGAGCTGCTAAATCAAATTTGTCGGAGCGGTGGAAGGCGGCATTGAAAAGGGCTTTGAGGTTGAAGCCTTAACAGAGGTGATTTCTGAAAAGTGACAAAGCGCTGAAAGACAAGGCCCTCGCCACCACCGCTGCTGTCAGGAGCAGATGCTGCCATGTTGGGCTGTTTTTGCCTCTTTTCCCTGAGAGGCAACAGAGAGCAGTGAGGCCACAAATCTATTACCACCGCACACCAGCAGCCAAACGAGGATTTCAGTGTAGGATCCCAAAGAGACTTTTTGGTAGGAAGAAGTGAAATAGTGGAAGACGAATAAAATAATGGCACAAGCTGCAAATCAACAAGTCCCAGAACTCTTTTTTTCTACATCCATGCTTGTCAGCACGCTGCAACTCATAACACGTCCTGAAAATCTAGTAGTAACAAGTGAGATTAAATATGAAGGCATTTAGAGAACTCAAGACACAAGAACCTGTTTCAAACTAAAATAAGTGTGTGTACCAGGAGGTTTAGGCCTGGGGGAGCCAAAAGCAGAAGGATAGTTACAGTATCCAGAATGTCTGTCCAAAAGCTGATGGAATATGTTCATGGGTAAATTATGCGTGAAGAGAAAACAACCAACCATCATGTTCTGTACTTGAGCTTGGCCTCACAGCCTGTGGATGTCCGATTTCTGCACTAAACTCGGACTAAAATTGCAGTCCCTTGTCTCTGCTTAGCACGGTTAAAGAAATAGCTGTATCGCCCCAGAGTCATTTTAATCCCACCTTTCTCATTTGTTCTCACCAACAGGAAATTGTCCCAGGATGTAAGTAACTTTCACAATAAAAAAATCATTGTCCCTGTATCCCTATCATATAAAAAACACAGACACACAACACCTCTGGAACACAACACATGTACTGCCCTCATTCCCATAACATTTGATAATTTAACCTTTGCCATGCTCTCAAGTCATTGACTGCCTGCAGCGCCCCCTGTCTGCCTGCCTGCTCCTACCAACCAATCGATATCATCATCTAGCTGGCTGGAAAGACAGAGAACAAGTAATTGGAGAGTGTCGGCGGGCCCTGACCCTCCGCCTCTCTCACACACAGACACACACACTCATATGAAGACAGATTGCCTGCTTCTGTGTAAACAGATGCTGCAGTTTCAGACATCAGCACCACTTTCTCTGTCGTAATTTGTATCGATTCTTCTTCTTCTTCTCATGTGTCTGATGTTTTTTATAAACGAGAAGAAGGGGGAGATTCCGCCACATATTTAATCAAGTATTTATCTCTCTCTAGCTTTTTTTTCTCTCCTGGCTGAGAGCATGATCAAACGCACGGTTGACATCCTGCTGACTGGAACTAGCGCTGTGTTATTAGGAAACTAAATGACTGAGGAGAAGGAACAGGGGGCAGGACGGGAGGGAGAGGAGGTCACACGTTAAGCTAATTTGTTTGACGGCAGATCCACAGTGTCAAAGAAGAAGTGTTAGCAGCCGTGGTGATCGCAGCAGGTCAGAGGACGAGGATGCTCACTCCCTGCTGCTGCTGCCGCTGCTGCCGCTGCTGCCGCTGGTGCCCCGGGACCGGGAACAAGG